GGAAAGAAGGTGTGCATCTCGCCCAATCGTATTACGCGCGTAACACGATAAATCGAGCTACAGGGGAAAAAGGTATGCATCTCGCCCAATCGTGTTACGTGCGTAACACGATAAATCGAGCTACAGGGGAAAAAGGTATGCATCTCGCCAAATCGAGCTAGAGGGGAAAAAAGGTGTGCATCTCGCCCAATCGTATTACGCGCGTAACTCGATAAATCGAGCTACAGGGGAAAAAGGTATGCATCTCGCCCAATCGTGTTACGCGCGTAACTCGATAAATCGAGCTACAGGGGAAAAAGGTATGCATCTCGCCCAATCGTGTTACGTGCGTAACTCGATAAATCGAGCTACATGGGAAAAAAGGTGTGCATCTCGCCCAATCGTGTTACGTGCGTAACTCGATAAATCGAGCTACAGGGGAAAAAGGTATGCATCTCGCCAAATCGAGCTAGAGGGGAAAAAATGTGTGCATCTCGCCCAATCGTGTTACGCGCCTAACTCGATAAATCGAGCTAGAGGGGAAAAAGGTATGCATCTCGCCCAATCGTGTTACGCGCGTAACTCGATAAATCGAGCTACAGGGGAAAAAGGTATGCATCTCGCCCAATCGTGTTACGCGCGTAACTCGATAAATCGAGCTACAGGGGAAAAAGGTATGCATCTCGCCCAATCGTGTTACGTGCGTAACTCGATAAATCGAGCTAGAGGGGAAAAATGTGTGCATCTCGCCCAATCGTGTTACGTGCGTAACTCGATAAATCGAGCTACAGGGGAAAAAGGTATGCATCTCGCCCAATCGTGTTACGTGCGTAACACGATAAATCGAGCTACAGTGGAAAAAAGGTGTGCATCTCGCTTAATCGTGTTACGTGCGTAACACGATAAATCGAGCTACAGGGGAAACAATGTGTGCATCTCGCTTAATCGTGTTACGTGCGTAACACGATAAATCGAGCTACAGGGGAAAAGGTATGCATCTCGCCCAATCGTGTTACGTGCGTAACACGATAAATCGAGCTACAGTGGAAAAAAGGTGTGCATCTCGCTTAATCGTGTTACGTGCGTAACACGATAAATCGAGCTACAGTGGAAAAAAGGTGTGCATCTCGCTTAATCGTGTTACGTGCGTAACACGATAAATCGAGCTACAGTGGAGAAAAGGTGTGCATCTCGCTTAATCGTGTTACGTGCGTAACACGATAAATCGAGCTACAGTGGAAAAAAGTTGTGCATCTCGCCTAATCGTGTTACGTGCGTAACTCGATAAATCGAGCTACAGTGGAAAAATGTGTGCATCTCGCTCAATCGTGTTACGTGCGTAACACGATAAATCGAGCTACAGGGGAAAAAGGTGTGCATCTCGCCCAATCGTGTTACGTGCGTAACACGATAAATCGAGCTAGAGGGGAAAAAGGTGTGCATCTCGCCCAATCGTGTTACCGCTGAAAAAAGGTGTGCAGCTCGCTCAATCGTGTTACCGCGGAAAACGGTTGAAGCTTTACCCCCTCGTAGCCCCCTCCCCTTACCCTCACAAGCCCCCCCCCCTCCCCTCATTCCCCATTCCCCTCACTCCCCCACTTTCTCACTCCCCCATTCTCACCACTGCCCGCGCGCCAACACTTCATCGCCTATCAACAGTAATGAGCTCCAACAACGACTTTATTACTCCGGAAAAGGGCTGCATCCCCCCTCCCGGTGCTCCCACCAAGAAAAGGGCGAAAAATGCCCAAGGGACGCCACTTGAAAACGCCCTTCTATTGATTTCGACCAAGGACGACGGGGGCATTGCCACCTACTGTAGCAACCACTCCGTGTTGTCCGGGATCAGCGGCCACTTTGGCAGTATCGACTTGTTTTTGTCCGATGAGCTTTTTGAGAGCGTGCTTGGCGTCGTAGGTGGCAGCGGCTACTCCTCGGTGAACCGCAATCTGTTTGTGCCGGAAGAAATCACCGAGCGTAAGAAGAGCGCTCTGCTCAAATTATTTTCTCTTGAAGTTCATGGTGGTGGGGAGGCACCGACTGGTGAAGTTTTCAGGGGTACTATCGTAGTGTAGTGTATTTCACGTTTTTTTAAAAACGCACCCCGGGGGTTTGTAGAGATATTCCGGCATTTCTCATGAAGAAAATTATTTCAATTTACCACCCGAGAACCACTCTCGTACCACAAGGCAGAACACATATCAAAACCATTCCTATGACCATGGCCAAAAGGTACGCGGATGTGGCAAGAAAGCGCGCATCTGCGTGAAGCCTCGTGCATGAAATAAGATAATCCTCATGCAGAACGACGAGAGACGCGCAGTCATCATATCCCGTCGTTTCCATCACATATCTCATCTCCCACCCTAGCGACGGCGAATTCTTAGGATGAGAATCGCAAATTGATTCAGAATTGAAGTGGTGGTGAGTTTCGATGACAGCCACCGCGACATTCTCAGGCACTGAGGTCCAACACTCCTCCCCTATCGGGTGTCGCACGGCCAGGGTGACTCCGAACGAAAAAATAAGCGACATGTACGACACAGTCTTGAGGTCCGCGTCCATGTTCACGTGGCAGTCGCCGGAAGTCGTATTCCAGATCTGAGCGTTGTTCGTCGATGAACAAACTGCCATGTCGCCCGATTCATACACAAAGTCCGTGCAGATTGGACCACACGAAGCCCCGGCGGCGGGCGTCGTACAGGCGGAGAGAAGAAGAAGAAACGT